CTTTTCTTTTTGTCTTGTTTGTTCATTTATCTGTCTTTGGGAAGGTAAGAGAGGCACAGAAATGGAGGGACAAAAGGTGAGCAAATGCAGCAGTGATACTCACTAGACACTATGTTGAAAATATAACTTGTGGGTGGGGGATGGGAGGGAATAACTGGGAGAAAGGGAGGCAGGAAAGGGTGTCATTGTCCAAAAAGAAGGTACTTATTAGCTGACATGTAACTGTAATCCCTCTGTACATCACCTTTATATAAAACAACAATTAAAAATTAAATAAACAAAGAATCTCTCAGACTTTTGTGCCCTGGCTGGCTTCAAGTTATGATCCTCAGATCTCAGCTAGGATTATAGGCCTGAGTCACCAGCATCCAGCTTGTACTTCCTTTAAAATAATAAATTGTAAAGTAAGTTGAAGAAAGTAAGTTAGCAGAACTTAGTTCCATTGTTTACTATTTCTCTCTCTTTTCCCCCAACCCCTCTCTCTGATGGTACTGGAGGTTGGAACTCAGAGCTTGGCACTTGCTTGACTGTGCAATACAACCTTGTTTTCCACTTTAATTTTTTTTTTTTTTTGGGGGGGGGTCCGGTCATGGGGCCTGAACTCTGGGCCTGGGCGCTGTCCCTCAGCTCTTCAGCTGAAGGCTAGTGCTCTACCACTTGAGCCACAGTGCCACTTCCGGCTTTTTTCTTTTTTCTTATGTGGTGCTGAGGAATCGAACCCAGGGCCTCATGCATGCAAGGCAAGTGCTCTACCACTGAGCCACCTTCCCAGCCCCTCACTTTCATTTCTTTTAAGGATGGACTCTTTATTCCTGCCTGAGTTCATGCCTGAGCCTTGATCTGTACACTCTAGGCATCCTCATCATTATGACTAGGATTACAGGCATGTACTACCTCATCCAGCTTTCTTTCTGTGGAGACAGTCTTGCAGACTTTTCTGCTTGGGCTGACATACCACTGCAGTCCTCCAAATAGCGTCCCTTGAAGCTTAAGAAAGCGCAATCTACTACATCCAGCTATGCGCCGAGACCTCTGGAACTTTCCTGCCTGGGATGGCTTTAAACTATGATCCTCCTGTTATTGACCTTTCAAGTAGGTACAGTGGTCTGCAAGGCCACTGGTGCCCAAGTTTAATATTACTTTATCAAGTTATTTTTGTGTCTGCACTCGCTGTCTTACATTCTTAGCTGTTCTTGCTAATGGCTACTGCTCTATCATTTGAGCCATGACTTCAGTCCAGCATTTTATTGTTTAATTGGAGATAGAATCTCCAAGACTTTTGCCCAGGCTGACTTTGAATCTTGATTCTCAAGTCTCGGATATCTGAGTAGCTAGGATTACAAGTGTGATCCACTGGGGCCTGGCTCATTTTTCCAATAATGTGTAGTATGTATAAGTTGTTAATGATTAGTTTGGTGTATTTCAGTGAAACGAATTCAAAGAGATGGACAAAATTCTAATAGTAAATGTAGAAGTAATAATAGAAGTAAATCAGAGTAGCAAGATAACCTGAAGGTCTTAAATGAAAAGTTATCTTCTACCTTCTCATTAGATTACTGCTTTAAAAATTATTTTTATTGTTATTATACAGGTTATATACAGAAGGGTTACAGTTACATGAGTCAGGTAAGGAGTACATTTCTTTTTGGACAATGTCACCCCTTCCCTCACTCAGATTACTGCTTTTTTTGGGGGGGGGGCGGGGTCAGGCATGGGGCCTGAACTCTGGGCCTGGGCGCTGTCCCTCAGCTCTTCAGCTCAAGGCTAGCACTCTACCACTTGAGCCACAGCGCCACTTCCGGCTTTTCTTTTCTGCTTATTTGGTGCTGAGGAATTGAACCCAGGGCCTCATGCATGCAAGGCAAGCGCTCTACCACTGAGCCACCTTCCCAGCCCCCACATTTCAAAGTTTTTATTTTCTCTCTTTTGGTAGATTGTGAGTCCTATGAGGACAGGGATATTTCATATTTTTTTATTGTCATAACTTCTGCATTTAAGACAATGCTTGTTACATAAAAGATGTCTGATAATATTTGTTGAAAAGGCTGGTGCAAAATATCTAGCAAGCAGACAAGCTATGTATCTCTCATTTCAGTTGTTTTTTCCAGCTGGGAGCTGGAAGCTAACACCTGTAATACTACCTACACAAAAGGCTGAGATCTGAGGATCACCATCAAAGCCAGCAGACAAATCTGAAAGATTCTTTTTTTTTTTGGGTCCGGTCGTGGGGCCTGAACTCTGGGCCTGGGCGCTGTCCCTCAGCTCTTCAGCTCAACAGCTCAAGGCTAGCACTCTACCACTTGAACCACAGCGCCACTTCCGGCTTTTTTCTTTTTGCTTATATGGTGCTGGGGAATCGAACCCAGGGCCTCATGCATGCAAGGCAAGCGCTCTACCTCTGAGCCACCTCCCCAGCCCCCTGAAAGATTCTTATCTCCAATTAACTACCAAAAAGCCAGAATTAAAAGTGTACTTCAAGTGATAGAGTGTCAGCAAAAAAGGCAAGTGAGTGTGGGACACTCTGAGTTCAAGACCTATATTAGTACAAAAAGGAAGTTTTTTTGTTTTTGTTTTTTTAGCATGAGGTCTCATTATAATTGCCTAAACTGGGGCTGGGAAGGTGGCTCAGTGGTAGAGCGCTTGCCTTGCATGCCTGAGGCCCTGGGTTCGATTCCTCAGCACCACATAAGCAAAAAGAAAAAATGCCGGAAGTGGCACTGTGGCTCAAGTGGTAGAGTGCTAGCCTTGAGCTGAAGAGCTGAGGGACAGCGCCCAGGCCCAGAGTTCAGGCCCCACGACCGGACCCAAAAAAAAAACAAAACAAAAAAATTAATTGCCTAAACTGCTTAGAGCCTCATATTCTTGCTTGGCTTTTTTGCTCAAGACTGGTGCCCTACCATTTGAGACACACCTCCATTTCTGTTTTTGTTTTGTTTCCTGGTAAATTAAAAATAAAGAGTCTCACACACTTCATTGCCCAGGCTGGGTTTGAATCACAATCCTCAGATCTTAGTCTCCTGGATAGATAGGATTATAGGTATGAACCGCTACCACCTGGTGACAAAAACTTTTTTTTTGGTTGAGGCTTAAACTCTGGAACTGGGAGTTGTCCCTCAGCTCTAGGCTAGCACTCTTATCACTTGAGCCACAGCACCACTTCCAGTTTTCTGGTGGTTCCAGTTTTCTGTGGAGATAAGAGTCTCACAGACTTTCTTGCCTGGGCTGGCTTCTAACCTCAGTCCTCAGATCTCAGCTTCCTGAGATTACAGGTGTGAGCCATCACTGCCTCTCTCAAAAAAAATTTATAATTAGATTTTAGTGGCAATTTCCCAACCCTGTAACTACACTAAAAACCATTCAATTATGTGTTTTAAATGGGCAATTGTGTAGTGTATGAGTCTTATCTCAATAAAACTGTGAAAAGATACTTTTAAAAAGTGTTTCAAGTTTCAAACTCAGATCGTTTCTTTCTCTTTTCTTCCCTTTTTCTTCCTCCTCCTCCTCCTCCTCCTCCTCCTCCTCATCTTCTTCTTCTTAAAAAAATTGGTCTTGAACTCAGGGCCTAGGCACTGTCCCTGAGCTTTTTTTTGCTCAAGGTTAGTGCTCTACTATTTGAGCCACAGCTCTTCCAGCCTTTTGGTGGTTTATTGGGGATAAGAGTCTCATGGACTTCACTGCTCTGCTTTGAACTGTGATCCTCAGATCTCAGCCTGCTGAGTAGCTAGGATTACATGTGTGAGACACCAGTGCCTGACCACAGGTACTTTTTTTTTTTTTGCATGCCAGTCCTGTGGCTTGAACTCTGGGCTAGGGCACTCTCCCTGAGCTTTTTTGTTCAAGGTTAGCATTCTACCACTTTAGCTACAGTTCCACTTCTGGCTTTTTGGTGGTTTATTGGAGATAAGAATCTCATAGACTTTCTTGCCCAGGCTGACTTTCAACCTTGATCCTCAGACCTCAGTTTTTTGAGTAGCTAATCTTGTAAGACATTTCCCCCTCTTTTGTAGAGGATAGAACTTAGAGCCTCACACATGCGTGGCAAGGGTGTTCTATCATTGATTCACACTCTCAGCCCTTGTTTTGTTTTAATTAAGGTGAAATTCCTATAACACGCAATGAAACATTTTAAATTAAGTAACTCAGCGAGTGGCATTTTATAAGTTCACAATGTTGTGCCACCTGCACTTCTATCTAGTTCCAAAGTTTTCACACCAAATAAAACCTGGTTCCCATTTATTAGATAGCCTGGTATGTTAGAATTTGGATCCTGGCTGGTTGGAACTGCTCAATCCCTGACTCAGTTTCCTTATTGTAAAATAGGGAAAACAACGAGGACTTGGCATGTATGTACACACGTGCGTGTATATATGTACATATATGTACATACACGCACATATATGCACATACATATACACATGTATATATACACATATGTGTACCTATGTATGTACACACGATATATATATCCCTGTCCTGAAGTTTGAGCTCAGGCACTGTCCCTGAGATTTTTTTTGTGTTTTGCTCAAGGACAGCGCTCTACCATTTGAACCACCAGCCCTACTTACAGTGTTTTGTTTGGTGGTTAGAAATATGAATCTCACACATTTTCCTGCCCGGGCTGGCTTTGAACCTTGGGCTGGCTTCGAACCTCGATCTTCCGATTTCAGCCTCTTGAGAAGCTAAGATTATAGGGTGAGCCACGGGCGCCCAGCAACTTGGCATAATTGTATTAAATTATCATCACTTGGCATTTACCAAACTGAGCTTCCATTCATTAGCAAAACTTCTACTCAAAACAAAGTGCATCTTTGTCCTCCTTAAAATCTTGTCGTCCTCTGGGGATAGGCAAAGGGGAGAGAGAAAATGACTTCTACAAGGTCACACAGCCAGCCACTCAAGGACCCAAGTTTCCCGGCTTTTGGTCTGGTGCCCTTTCCACGCCCGCCAGAGAGGAGGCAGCGGCGCTCATGGGGATGCAAGGATGTAGAGGCGCAAAGGGAGAGAAGAGGCCGCGGGAAGAGAGGTGGTGTGAGATCCGCGGAGGCGCCGGCCAAGGAAGGGCGCATGGAGAGGCGTGCGGCGCGAACGGCCGGGGTGCGGAGAGGGGCTGCGGCTGGCAAGCGAGGGCGGCGCGGGCTCCGGGGTCTGGGGGTCGGGGGAGACGAGCGGCCTGGGCCGGGCTCAGGGGCGCAGGAGGCGGAGGCCGCGGACTGTGGCGGGGGAGGCCGTGAGCGCCAGCTGCAGTGGGCGGCGGTCCCGTCCTGCACAGATGGGTCTGGCGAGTGGGCGTGGGGCGCCGCAGGGGTGCGGCGCGGGGAGTGGTGGTGGTGGTGGTGGTCGCGGACCCCTCCCCCCAGCCCAGCCGGTGGGTGGGGGCGGGGGCGGGGCCGGCGGGGGGCGGGCCTTACTGGGCCCCCGCGGGAGCGACGGCGGCGGCGGCGGCGGCGGCGGCGGCGGCGCAGGCGCGGTTCCTGCCTCCTCCGGGCCGGCGGAGCCAGTGGAGGCTGCAGTCCAGCTCCGCTCCCGCGTCGCCGCCCGCCGCCCGCCGCCGCCGCGAAGCCCCCCGCCCCGCTTCCGCTTGGTCGGAATGAGCTCCCGGAAAGGTGAGTGGCTCGCAGCGCCCTACTCCACGCCGCGCGACCCCTCAGGCCGGCCGGCCGGCTCGACCGTTAATGTGTGTCTTCTCGTTCCTCAGTGCTGGCCATTCAGGCCCGAAAGCGGAGGCCGAAAAGAGAGAAACATCCGAAAAAGTGAGTTCACGCCGCCGTCCTCCCCGAGTCCCCACCCCGCCCTGCCGAGGACAGCCCGCCGCCGCGCAGGGGAAAGTTGCCGGGGTCCCCGGGGCCGGCGGGTGCCCCCCCCCCCCCCCGGGATGCCGGCGCCCGGCCTCAGCGCGCCCCGCGGGCGGCCCCGGGGGAGGGGAGGGGAAAGGCGGGGCGGGAGGGGCGCGCGAGCCCGCGGCCGGCGCCCGGGGTTCCGCCGCTCCGACTCCGTCTCTCTCTCTCCCGGTCCCGGGGTCGGGCCGGGCGGCCGCTGCGATCCTCGGTGGACCCTCCCGTCCGTCGGGAGCGGGCGAACAAGCGAAGCGAGCCGGCGCTGGGCGTGCACCGGCCCCCACCCCCCCGCCTTGCTCGCCGGCCCGGCCGGGCTCGGGGATCGCCGGGCCGCGCTGGGTGCGAGAGTGCCGCGGCCGGTGCCGGGGCAGCGTGGCCCGGGTGGACGGGCAGGCTCTTCGCCGCCTCTCCCTCCCGGGCCCGGCCTCGCGGCGCCGGACACCCGCGCCGGTTGTCAAGTGGTTGGCCCCGGGCGTGTTCCTGGCGCGAGTTCAACTTCGAGACCCGTGCGTTTCGGCGCCTGGGTGTTTTTCCTGGGAAACTTTGTGCCGGGGTCCAGCGTGACTTCTGAGGCGCGGCGGCTGCGCCCGGGTCCCGGAGGCCGTGCCCGGCGGGCGGGCCGGCGGGCCCCAGCCCGGCGCCGACGACTGGATCCACCGGCTGGCCGATGTTTGCTGCGTGCCTGCGCCGGCCACCTCCAGCCCTGGCCGCGCCCCCGAGTGGGGCGGTCGCGGCGGGGAAGCCTTTCGCGGAGAGCCGCTCGGACTGCCGCGCGCCGCCCGGCGTCTGCGCCCTCGTTCCCCGGGTTTGAGCTCCCCACGGCCTTTCCTGTCGTTACCCTTCTCTCTCAGGGGTGGCTTCGTTTTTCCTTGTGAGCGAGACGTTCGGTGTGTGGCGTCTTGGCAACTGTGGGGAACCGACAGTGCAGGGTTTGGTCTCTAATAAAATCGCGAAGCGTTTTGTCTCTTTCCTTTGGTGGGGAAGACCCTGCAGCACTTTTTCCTAGTTTCGTGTTGGCTTTGGTAGCTGCCCAGCCAATTTCCCAGCCATCGGGTGTTTTATCTAGGAAAACTGGCACGGTCATTACTAATGTAAAATGGTATTAAACGTCGAGATTTTCTTCATTGATAACTGCACATAACTCGTAAGGACTTTGAGTTTCACTAAAAAAGTGTATATTGACATAATAATATTGTTGAGGGGGGAAAAAGGACTGGGAATGTGGCTTAGTGGTAGAGTGCTTGCCTATCATGCACGAAGCCCTGGGTTCGATTCCTCAGTACCACATAGAAATGCAGGAAGTGGCGCTGTGGCTTAAGTGGTAGAGTGCTAGCCTTGTGCAAAAGAAGCTCAGGGACAGTGCCCAGGCTCTGAGTTCAAGCCCCAGAACGGGGGGGGGGGGGGGGGGGAAGAGTGAGGGAAATGAACTTAAGAACTTGAAAAAACAAAAGATAGAAATTGGATATTGGAGCGTGCGTGTGTGTGTGTGCGTGTGTGTGCGTGTGTGTGCTGGTCCCAGGGTTTGAACCCAGGGCCAGGGCACTGTCCCTAAGCTTTTTGTTTTGCTCAAGGCTAGCCCTCTACTACTTGAACCACAGCTCCGCTTGTCTTTTTGGTAGTTAATTGGAGATAAGAGTCTCAGGGACTTTCCAGCCCGGACTGGCTTTGAAGTGCATTTCTTAGATTTCAGCCTCCTGAGTGGCTGGAATTATAGGCATGAACCACTTGCGCTGCCTTGAATTAGCTAAATCTTAGTTTGGAATAGAGTTTTAGCACACATACACTCACACATATTGTAAAAATTAGGACTCTCATTCAGTTTTTTTCCCCATCCTTTTTCTTGTACCTGGGATCAAATGCAGGGCCTCATGAATGCTGTAAGTACATGTTCTACTGCTGAGCTATATCGCAGCTATGTAATTTTTTGAGGCATGATTCCTATACTATGAATTTTATCTTTTAGAGAGCTGACTGTGGAAATGTGTTCCTATACTTCCAGCTACTTGTGGGAGTCAGAAGCCAGCCTTACAATTTAGTGAGACTTGGTCTTAACACTATTTATTTAGGTAGTACTTGGGTTTGAACTCTAGGCCTCACATTTTCTAGGTAGGTTATCTTACTGTTGAACCACACCTTCACCCCTGTTTTCTGTTGGTTATTTTTATTAACTTACATTAATTTCAGCAGAAGGCATTTCATGTACATTTCCACACCTGTTTTCCATGTATTCTATTCAGTCTAACTCTCTTATCAATCTGCTTGTCCCCCTTTTCTGTTCCCCAAATAGTTTTAATTGGTGCTTATTTTTGAGATGAGTCTTGCTTCCTGCCTGTGCATGCTCCTAGGCTGATCCACCTGTGTCAGACATCCCATAGTAGCTAGGATGGTAGGTACTTATCACTGCATTCAACTTTCCAGACATTCATAACTTTTTTGTTTGTGCTGTACTCAAACTTCAATCCTAATAGTCTCAGTTTCTATCTCAACTAGCTTGTGTGTGTGTGTGTGTGTGTGTGTGTGTGTCTGTGTCTGTGTGCCTTTTTAAATTTAGCACAATATTTTCCTGTTTTATCCATGTTGGAGCATGTTTTGGTACTTTATTCCTTTATATTGTTAGGTAATAGGTAATGGTCCATTATGTTCATTCTATTTTATTTATTCTTTTACCTGATATTGGGCCATGTAGATTGTTTGAGACTCTTGAGTTATATTGAGTTATGAGCATACTTTTTAACCTTTAATATATTTTTATTGATATGTTTTATTTTGAAAGTTGTAAAAGTGCTACATATATCCTTCATTCAACTCCCCCTGTATATCCTGTATATCCTTCATTCATCTCCCCTCACTCTCATTAATGGTATAGTACAAAACCATAGAAAATCATCTAGTCAGGAAATTGACATTGGTAGAATTTCTATTGGTTTTTTTTTATTTTTTCTGAGAATACTGGGGTTTGAACTGTCGGTCTTTTTTTTTTTTTTTTTTGGTCAGGTTGTGGGGCCTGAACTCGGCCTGAGCACTGTGTCCCTCAGCTCTTCAGCTCAAGGCTAGTGCCCTACCACTTGCCACAGCACCACTTCCGGCTTTTTTCTTTTTGTTTATGTGGTGCTGAGGAATCGAACCCAGGGCCTCATGCATGCAAGGCAAGCGCTCTACCACTGAGCCAACTTCCCAGCCCTTGGACTGTGGGTCTTTTGATTGGTAGGTAGGTGCTCTACTTACACTATTCGCCAAATCTGGCAAAACACTGAATGATAGGTGTGGCTCTCATATGATAACTGTGGAGAAAGGGAAGGGAGGGACAACCGAGTAAAAAGAAAGTAGAAGAGTACGAAATTACCCATATCAGATATGATAAGCATATCACTACAAACAATAAAGTAACAAAAAAGTGACAAAGATCAATTTACATAAAGCAAAACAAGAATTTTCATTTGTTCTTGTGTTTGCTCCTGTCAAATCACATAATCTGGAGAGACTGGGTGTGAGGGCTCTGACCCACCCAGCGGTCAACACATTGAGCCAGGAGGCAGGTCTTGGATATAGGCTCAGAATTTCTTTGCTGTCCTGGCCTCAGACAGTAGAAATAATTTCTGGCCAGTGAGGGTGGATCCTGACTACTGTTATGTGCCTCAGTTGTCCTTAATGATGCCTCTTGAGGTGTTACTTCTTTTGGTAACTCAAATGGCCACCCTGAGCCTCTACCGTGTGTCTTCACAGAGAGTCCCAAGCCATTGTCATGTGCCTGCCAGGTGTCTCCAGTAGCCTCCTCTGATGTCCTAGATACTAATGAAGTGTGCCCAAAGTACTGACTCTCTAGCTGCAGGCACGTAAGCACAGGTGCCTAGGCTGTATGTGCTCAAACTGTCCCTGTTCATGTCTTATTCTGCCAGTATTCTGGCTGCCAGATTAGTTCTCTACAGCTTAAATTACTCTTCAGCTCCCTTTTGGACACAGTCCTCCCTCTACAACAACCTCATATGATCATCTCATAACCAAGATTCTATGGCAGGGTGTTTCAATTCTTTGTGTCATGATTGTTCCTTGTTACAAAGAGCAACTCAGGCTCCAACAGTAAGCACTCTCTCAAGGTGGCAGCTTCTTTAGCTCTCTTATACTAGGGGATCATAGAATGCTTTTCTTCACCAAGACTAGTCTTCTACCTTAGAGTATTCAGTTTATCACAACCCTGTAGTAGGTTTAAAGTTTGTGGCTTAAGGCTTCATGATTCCTAGCTGTCTTCCTCTTTTTCTCTTCAGAATCTAGTTGCTTCTGTGTTACCAGAATCTTTTCATTCACAGAGTCAAACCGGTAGGCACTTCTAATCTGCCATTGGTTCTCTGACTTTTTAAATTTTAATTAACATTTCTCTTCTTCAACTGATAGATGAAAAGACAAAAATTGTGCATATTAATGGAGTACCATCTGATCATTCAATGCATATATTCTTTGTGTACTATTTAAATCAAGATAAATATATGTATATATATATCTACAAACACATACACACACACATATTTTTTTTAGTTCATCATGGGGCTTGAACCTCAGGACCTTGGGCACTTTCCCTGAGCTCTTCAGCTCAAGGCAAGTGCCCTACCACTTGAGCCACAGCGCCACTTCCAGTTTTTTGGTTGTTAATTGGAGATGAGTCTCACAGACTTTCCTGTCCAGGCTGGATTTGAATTGCAATCCTCAGATCTCAGCCTCCTGAGTAGCTAGGATTACAGGCATGAGCATGGAGGATAAATATATTTTACTTCTTTAAACATTTGTCTCTTCTTTATGGTGCAAAAGTTTGAAATTCCTTTCTAGCTTTTTGAAAATATACACACTGTTACCTATTCATGCTGCTATGCCAATAGTATCCCAGAACATTTTGCTCCTGTAACTTAGTATACACTGATTAATCT